CAGTTCACAAGTGTGATTAAACAACATTTCTGACAATGTCAGCTCTAATTTGAACAAAAAACTGCAGCTTCTGCTATTTAAAACTTTTAATTTTGATATAAAAACGACAAGACAGTCTAAACAACACAAAACAACAACATAAACAAGAAAACAAGACAGTCTAAACAACCCAACAACTAAGCAACACTGAACAAGCAGGGAAACAACATAGGAGAACAAAACACAACGTAAACAACGCAGGACAGTATGAGCAACACAAGACCAACAGCACAGGACAATCTGAACAACACCCCAGCCCAGTCTGACCACTGCTGTGGTTCTCTCTGAGGTTCTCACACTGGGGCTCCAGCAGCTCTGAGTGCTGGTGGGTGTTGAGTTGAGGGCCTTCTCACGCTCCTCAGCTGCCAGGCTGAGCTGGGCACAGCGCAGGAGGCTTCTGCTGGGGCGAGCCCAGCAACACAACCGAGCCACGCCGTCTAAGCCCCGAAACAACTAAGAAAACACACGACCCCCACTTACCGGCTGTGTTACAGCGACCGTTTTCTTCCTCCCTCCGGCCGCACATGAGCGCCACATTTCCCGGAGAGCCAAGCAGCGCCGACACTGAGGAAAAAAGTGCTCAGGAACGCGGATTAGGCCACACCCAGAGAGCCGCGTCACGGTGACGAAGCGAGACGCAGGGCCTATCAGAGCCACGCTGCGGCTCTGCGGGCGCGCGGACTCGAAGGGGCGCGTTCCAATTGGCGCACTCGAGCACTGCGTACTAGTACACTATCAAGTACAGTAGCTCACTGTAGCGCATTTCCAGCTAAAATATGAGTGAGAGATTCAGCACCTGTGAATCTGAACGTGACGTGTGTGTTGATGCGGCTAGGAATGGGCGAGGAAAGCAAAAACCACACACCAGAGCGAATTCCGTGCTGGTTTAAACTGGTCTTTGCTGGTCTAGTGCTGGTTTAGCTGGTCACCCAGCTTGGTCATGATGGTTGACCAAAATACCAGCATCCAAAACATACTGGTCTATGCTGGTTTTGTAGCAGAGGAAATGTTAATTACTGTTTTTATGTCACAAAACCACACCCAACATGCCAGCAAGCGCCATACTGAAATCTGATATGCAGCCATATAAGCACATGTAGCATAAAGGGTCATGTGGATGTTTCAGAACATGAGCACATATGTGTTCTGCATTCATATGTAAGTATCAAATATTGGACATATATGCGTAATATATGGATCATACATGATTCTATACATACATTATATATATATATATAAACATATATAAGTATACATGTGTGACAACGTATGATAGAAAACATTCAAATACGGGATATATCCATATATTGCCATATATCAGATATATATGGAGCCCTTTTACTGCATTCATGACCAAGGGGGAAGTTTCTGACCTCCAAGTGGGAAAGATCCTTTTGGACGTCCCTCCAACTCACAATTCCAACTTGGAAACTCAAGAGTTCTGACTATTCCATGGTATCAGTTTAGCATGGCGGCACCCATTAAAACAAGTGCATTGTAAGCATTTAAAGCAGGCTCTTGAGTTGGTTTGTGTATGATATGCTATTTGTTTAGCTAAAGCTTTTGCATTGGCTAGCTAAACACAGGGGTAAACTTTAAGCCACTCCAAGCAAGATTTTTGCACACTTTCATGTCGTTTTTGGCACTATTTTAAAGTTAAACTGCCATAGTCTAGATCGAACAGCTCTTTAATTCCAAAGTAAATGCTTTTAAAGACCTTTTTACATGCATACAGCAGCAAAACAAGTGCTGGCTCAATGTGAGCATAAGGTCAGTTATACTGTGCTTTTATGTGGGAAGTAGAAGTTTCCAAGTTGGAAAATTCTGAGTTTCCAGGTGTTGTTAATGCAGCATTAGCTGGCTAAAATTAACCCTACACAGGAAACCTGGGTTAGTAACTGTTCTGTTCAAACACTCTCCAGAATGTGAATCAGTCTCAAAGCTCACAAACAGGTGAACAAAATTGCAGCTTTAATTCTTTAAACCAGGTGTAACTGAGTAAGTATTAAAGGAATTCCTGAAATTAAAAAGACCTGCTACACTAACAATGGCAGCCACAGGTCCATGCACTAGCTAGGCCTTCTTGTTAGGGCATAAGTGCGCTGATTGGAGCGTGGCCAAGGTATGAGTGTAGTTCGACTTAAGCCGCCGGCAATGTTTAGGCCCATCCGTTTGGTTTGAAGGTCGTTTGTAGTGTACGGTGAGCCGGTGAGCCACCCCAGATTACAAGTTCCCACGCAGAGATGTTAGTAATTAACAGAAAGCTGGCAGAATGAACCAGCTGAAAAAATCAAGACCTGAGTTCTAAATGAACTGGTTTCCCAAAGCTAAGAACCTTCTGCTTTGGTACCGAGGCACATGAGGGCTACTTTCAGAAGTGAATCTGTTAATGATTAGTAACAAGTACTGTGCTCTGAACTGGGTATAACTGTTTATCTGAATGTCCACCAGTGTCTTCTGGTTACAGCAAGATTTGTGTATTGATCACAGAGGCCTATAATTAGAAGAACACTGTTGAAACCCAGGAGCAATCCTCGCAAATGGGTTTATAGAGTTCACAATATCAGACAAAAGCCTGTTCACTTTACCCAGTTTAACTCACCGATGTCTTAAGCAGAGCATAAGTTGGATGAAGTGAATATTAGACTCTCAGTTGTCAAAGGAGGCTTGGTGGCTAATCTCACACATATAATCTATAATCATTACACTTATCATCGTTTTGAATATGTAAAGTATTTTAGAAGTGTCCACAGTTAGATGCACCTATAACCAGAAGCAGAGTCTCTGTGTGAACAGGCGTGTTATGAGATTTATGCAAATATAACGTCTGTTTGCTGTCTTGTAAATGGATAATGAATCAGTAACCTGAATCTTAATATTTATTTAATATTATTTGTACTAATGGTATATAATACATGACATAAAAGAGTCTTGTAATCTTCTGGATCTTTAATCATCTCAGAATTGTTCACAGTGGTGGTGATAGGAACCAGACGTCCACCTCTGAAAGCTCCCTCACAGAAAACTATTACATGAAATGATTAGATATGTTGCCTGATACCCGAGGCAGTGTTTTGAGTTTTGAGAGAAGGCCTAAGTCCTGCACGCACCCCTCCACCACGAATGTAGCATTAGAGGGGTGTAGTATAGTAGAGGGGACTTTCCAAGGCAAAAGTAGTGCACACATGCAAAATCTAAGCTACTTATCCTCTTGGGTTGCTGTAGCCTGTCCCAGCGGTCACTGGGCGGAAGGCAGGAAACACCCCGGACAGGTCGCCAGTCCATCACAAGACAGACATACACCTTCACTCTTAGGGGCAATTTGGCATCTCCAATTAGCCTGACTGCATGTCTTTGGACTGCAAGAGGAAACCCACACAGACACAGGGAGAACATACCAACACTTTGGATAGTAAGACAGGTGTAGGTCACTTTGGATAGGAAATAAAATGGCTACATTTGTGTCATGACCCCTGGTTCCTATCACCACCACTGTAAAGAAACCAGAGTCTGTACGTTTCTTTATAGTGAACCACCTCACACCAAAACCTTTATTTACAGCTCAACATTTGTATTATGTAGTGAAATTCCCATTAAAAATCCGGCTAACCCTGCTTGAAAGAAGTGACAGCAGCATATTTCAGATTTTTTTTAATTCAAATGCTAATATGAAAACGCTAATTCAGTAGTCTATACACAGTGGCGTTCCCAGTGCAGTGTGAGTGTGCACTATTAAAGAGATTGAATTCAAATTCAAATTCAAAATGTGTATTTACATCTGCATTTCTGTGTCTAACGGCTGGAAAAAGTTCATATGGAAAAACAAAGAGCTTTTGATGTTACATTTTCATTTGCTTTTCTATATTAACTTTATACACAGAAATGCAAACACAAATACATTTTTTGCATCTTAATTTGAACTACGTCTCCCATAATGCACACTCATATTGGAAATGCAGTTGTGAATACACAATAAAGTTAGCATTTTCAAATTTGCATTTGGAAAAAGTCTGGAATACTGTGCCACAAAGAAAGACCAAAAAAATCATAGAAACCATTAGAAGTGTCTGTTGGTTCCTGGCGGTGCTCATGGTGTAACAGGTGTTCTGGACTGATTTCAGATTCATTGTTTCTTCAAGTTGTCCTAGAGGAAACTAGTGGTCTCTAATGGTAAACATTAAGCCAATTCCCATTATAAAGCAAAACTAGAGCCGGTTTATGAGGAGTCTGGCCTCTTCCTATTTCCTCCATTATATCAAAAACAGGACTGCTAAACAGCAGAGGGCGCCCACGAGCGAGTCCTAAATGAATGGGGGTGAATGGAGCTAAACGGCTGAAAAAGAAAAGTTAAAATAGTTTCTAATCACTGAACCAGAACCTAGAAATATGTATTTCACTAAAAAAGCTAAGAAAATTGACCCTATGTTTCCTTTTTTCTACAGCAAACGGGTTTTGGGCAGCAGGATGCTAACATTACTGCTACTGAGTGCTGATCAGTTGGCGAGCGAAGCAGCTCATTGGCTGTTTGCACTCACTGACGTCATGAACGTACATGAGGCGCCGTTTTAAACTCCTATAACTCGAGTTTAAAAGCTGTTAACAATATAACAGCAGTGTTAAAATGTTTTATGCTGTTCTGTGTTCAAGAAATGATTGTATTATTTTACATTAAAAATGTTTGAGCATTTATAAACTATGGTTTTGCTCAAAAGCTCCACATTAATCCATTCATTTTAGACTTGCTCCGGAGCGCCCTCTAGTGTGAGTGGCAGCAGTGAGGCTCTGGTATTCCGTCCTGTAGGTGGCAGCAGTGAGGCTCTGATTATTCCGTCCTATAGGTGGCAGCAGTGAGGCTCTGGTGTTCCGTCCTGTTGGTGGCAGCAGTGAGGCTCTGGTAGTCCGTCCTGTAGGTGGCAGCAGTGAGGCTTAAAGCCTGAGCTGAGATAAACAGAAGAAGGAGAAGGTGTTGCGTCATGAGCCCCATGTGTTGTTGTGGGAGCTTCTCAGGGTTCTCAGCTGGTTCTCAGCTCGGTTTCTGAAGTTCAGTCAGGTTGGAGGTCCGCCCCGTTCCTCCATGTGGTCTTCGAGCTGCCGGTCAGGCCTCTGTTTGGTCAGGCAGAGTGCCCGTGTGGTCAGTGTGTTGAGCCGCGCTGAGAGAAAGTGGCCTCTCAGTCCCCTCGGTCCGATCGGTCAGCTTTGCCACAGCGGCTCAGCCGGACCTGCTCCTCCTCTCCGTCCACTGCGGGTCAGCGCTCGCTCCTTTACCGCCTCTCCGCGCCTGTGGAGCGAAGCGGTGGGCCAAATCCAGCCCACCCACTACCACCTGGTGTACACATGCAAGGTAAGAACACTGCTCTTAGAGAAGGTTCTTCACGGGTTCTTTATCAAAGGGAATGGTTCTGTTCAGAACCATGAGTTCTATATTGATCCATCTGCACGCTTAAAAGGTTCTTTGCATGGTGAAATATTCCTCAGATTGATGGAGAACGTGTTGTATATGGTTCTATATAGAACTTATTTAAAATGGTTCTGTATAGCACCAAAAAGGGTTCTGCTGTTGTCATGATGTCAAGTTTTGTAACAATAGAAGAATCATTTTAGGGCGTAAGAAATGTCTATATAGAACCTTTTTGAGAATGGTTCTGTGTAGCACCATAAGGGGGTTCTTCTATTGTTATAATGTCAAGCTTGTAACAATAGAAGAACCCGTTTTGGTGCCAGTAGAACCAATTTCAAAATAGGTTCTATGTAGAATCACTGGCATGCTTAAATGTTCTTCGCATGGTGAAATGGTTCTTCAGATTGATAGAGAATGTGCTGTACAAGGTTATATATAGAACCTATTTGAAAATGGTTCTGTATAGCACCAAAAAGGGTTCTGCTATTGTTATGATGTCAAGCTTGTAACACTAGAAGAACGCTTTTTGGTGTGATATAGAACCATTTTCGAGAAGCTTCTATATAGAATCATTTGCATGCTTAAATGGTTCTTTTCATGGTGAAATGGTTCTTCAGTTTGATGGACAATGTGTTGTTTATGGTCCGATATAGAACCTATTTGAAAATGGTTCTGTATAGCACCAAAACGAGTTCTGTTATTGTTATGATGTCATGTTTGTGACAATAGAAGAACCCTTTTAAGGCCATAAGTTAGGTTCTGTATGGAACCTTTTTGAAAATGGTTGTATGTAGCACAACAAAGGGTTCTGCTATTGTTACAGTGTCAAGCTTCTAGCAATATTAGAACCAGTTTTGGTACTATATAGAAGCATTTAAAAAAGGTTCTATACAGAATCATTCGCATGCTTAAAAGGATCTTTGCATGTTGAAATAGTTCTTCAGATTGGTGGAGAATGTGTTATATATGGTTCTGCGTAGAACCTTTTTGAAAATGGTTCCATAAAACACCTTAAAGGGTTCTGCCATTGTTATGATGTCAAGCTTGTAACAATAGAAGAACTCATTTTGGTGCCAACAGAACCATTTCCAAAAAGGTTCCATATAGAACCGTTTGTATGCTGAAGTGTTTTTTGCATGGTGAAACGGTTCTTCAGATTGATGGACAATGTGTTGTATATGGTTCTACATAAAACTGTCTGGAAATTGGTTCTGTTTAGCACTAAAAAGTGTTACCCAAACCGTGTGCATGGAGCTCAGTCGTCTGTTTCATCCTGTTCTCTCTCTCTCTCTCTCTCTCTCTCTCTCTCTCTCTCTCTCTGCAGGTGTGCAGCACTCGCTCGATGAAGAAGATCTCCAAGACGGCCTACCACAGAGGTGTGGTCATCGTCACGTGTCCAGGTTGTAAGAACCATCACATCATCGCAGATAACCTGGGCTGGTTCTCTGACCTGGAGGGAAAGAGGTCAGTGTGTCTGGATCTTAGATGATGCAGATGATGACCGACTGGCCAACTAAGTGTCCAAAAGTTTGTGGACACCTGCTTTTCCAGCATTTCTTCTGAAATGAAGGTGTTAATAGGGAGTTTGTGCTTCAATAACAGCCTCTACTCTTCTGTGAAGGCTTTACACTAGATGTTGGAACATTGCTGTGAGGATCTGATTGAGCATTAGTGAGGTCAGTTACTATGTTGGATGGTCAGTTCTGATCACTCCAGCTCATCCCAAAGGTACTGGATGGAGCTCCATCATCCCAGTTCCACTACTCCACACCTAATGCTGGGGGAGGTTTATACCCCTCTATCCCACATTAGCATTGGACATTAGGCTCATGTGTAGCTGGTCCAGAGCGTCCCCTTCTGTTGCTCCTCTATGTGTGCAATTGAACACTGTCAGTAATGGGTGCTGCTTAACGTAACTGAATTCTCTCGTTAGAAGGAGTGTTTGGATACGATCCCATTCCCAAAAAAGTTGGGACACTGTACAAAATGTAAATAAAAACAGAATGAAATGATGTGCAAATCATTTGAACCCTAAAATAGTACAATGTAAAACTGGGAATTTTTATTCTTTTTTGAAAAATATATGTTCATTTTCGAATGGCTGCCAGCAACACATTTCAAAAAAGTTGCAACAGGGGTAACAAAAGACTGGTAATGTTGTGTAATGCTAAAAACACACCTGGTGGAACATCTCACAACTAATTAGGTTAATCGGCAACAGGTCAGTAACATGATTGGGTATAAAAGAGCATCTCAGAGAGTCTTTATTCTTATTTTCTTACTTTCTTACTTAGAGTCTTACTTCTTTCAGAAGTAAAGGCGAGGAGGGGTTCACCACACACAGGCAAATATTCGACAGTTCGAGAATAATGTTTCTCGACGTGAAATAGCAAAGAACTTGGGGATGTCATCATCTTCGGCACATGAACCAGTATTGGCTGGCCGTGATCTTCGTGCCACTGCCTTCAAAACAGACAGGATTCTGTAGAGGAAATCCCAGCTTCACTCTTAGAAACACTTCTGAAAAACACTGTCTGTGAAGACAGTTCGTCGCTGCATCCACAAATGCAAGTTAAAACTAAAACGCAAAGAAGAAGCCATCTGTACACAGCATCCAGAAACACCGCCGCCTTCTCTGGGCTCCAGCTCATTTAAGAATGACTAAGGCGAAGTGGAAGAGTGTTTTGACAAATCAAAGTTTGAAATACTTTTTGTAAATCATGGACGCCGCATCATCCAGGCCGAAAGAGGAGAGGGACAATCTAAACATTTCACTTTTACAACTACAGCAGTGTCTCCTCAGTTCCCAAACACTTACAGAGTGTTGTTAAAAGAAGAGGTGATGAAACACAGTGGTAAACATGCCGCTGTCCCAACTTTTTTGGAACGTGTTGCTGGCATCAAATTCAAAATGAGCATATATTTTCAAAAAACAATCAAATTTTCAGTTTCAACCTTTGATATATTGTCATTATACTATTTCTGCTTAAATATAGGGTTTAAACAATTTGCACATCATTGTATTCTGTTTTTATTTACATTTTGCACAGCGTCCCAACTTTATTGCAAACATGATGATACGTTTGGACACGATGTGTGATGTGACCAGTGTTCTCTTGTTCCTGTAGAAACATAGAGGAGATTCTAGCAGCCAAAGGTGAGACGGTGAGGAGAATCGAGGGCGACGCTGCCATTGAGGTTGTTGCAGAAGAGACAATTAAAGAAGCGGCGCAGAAAAGCAGCGACGATGAACAGCAGGCTGTATCTGTGACAGACCAATCGGAAAAATCATGACCAATTACAGAGGCCTCCGGAACCTGGTTCTCTTATCTCTGTACATTCATGGACCTGACGTTCTCTGTAGAATATAAAATGAATATGTACATTGCTTGTGTATTTTGCTAAATATATTTAAGATTTTTAAAATAACAATAAGACCACAATGTGTGTTCATTGTCAATGGTGGATAGTGAGTAGTTACATTTACCATTTTGATGGATATGTACTTTTCAAATAACTTACATGGGCATATATTTACAAGGAAAGAAACCCACCCTGCTGAGAAAAGCAGCACAGGCCACGAATTCCATGCTGGTCTGGTGCTGGTCTGGTGCTGGTTTAACCCCTTACAAAGTACTGTTACACACTTCTATAGTCTAAGAATAGCTCAGTCAGTTTGCACTGAAGTCCCTGTAGTTACTAAATAATAAGCCTGAGATTGTAAGGGTTTAAGGGGAATTCCACTGATTTGTCAAAACTGCTTTATTATTAAATGGTTAAGATGTAAACAGAGTCAGTCAGAGTGGTTTGGTGTGAAACGCTCTGTTCTAGAGAAACTTAGCAGAGTCAGGATTGTTCACAGTGGTGGTGATAGGAACCAGACGTCCATCTCTAAAAGCTCCCTCACAGAAAGACACTGTTCTACAATAGTTTTGAGATGTTGGCCTAAAACATATTTTTAAAATCCATTCATGGTGGAGGAATACAGGCAGAGAAAGAAAACTTATTATTTCAGATTTTCCACTAATTACTATGTCAAGCTCGCAACAATAGAAGAACCTTTTTAGGACACCAGAAAGGGTTCTGCTACTGTTATGGTGCCAAGCTTATAACAACAGCAGCAGCTATAGCACCTTAACGCCTTTTTGGCGCTTTAAAGAACCATATACAGCACCTTCTCCATCAAACCAAAGAACCCTTGAAGAACCATTTTTTCAAGACTGTGGTGTTTGGTTGGCTCCCTCTAGTGTTGAAGACGCTGAACTGCAGTCATATATATTATTTGGTTTTATCGGCGTTTTAGCAGAATTCTCGACGACCTTTGGTCGGCAAATATTAACACGAAACGAACACGGAGTTAAATCGATTTTTTAGTCAGGCTCCAGCTGGTTTTTGGATGTTTTAACCGTGTTTTTTTGTCGAGTCTGCGCAGTCGGTCAGTCAGCGGTGACACAGCGCCTCAAAAACCAAAACAGAGCAGGATGGCTGCTCGGCGGTCGCTAACCAGCTAACTAACTGCAACGCTTCGCTTCTTTTCGTCCGGATTTTCTCAACCGGCCGTTCCTGACCTTTCGGGCGGTCAACGGGACTGTATTCCTGAGGTAACGACCGTGAGAAAACCGCGCTGTCATGAGCTCGTCGGACCCGTTTGCCGAAGTGGAGCGGCCTCGACACCGGCCCTTCCTCATCGGGGTGAGCGGAGGAACCGCCAGCGGGAAGGTAACCAAGCTAAGCTAACTATCTAACAGCCTCAAAACGGGTTAAACCACTCACTAAACTCACTGAAGATCAGTTCTGATTAGTTTAAAGAAGGCCGCTGTAGTTTCTGACTCTCAGAATCACACCAGGCTGCCTATTCGCCTGCTTCTTATTCGAATTTTTCCGTTCCGCCTTAAATGGTGCAGCAGTCATGTTCTTCATTTAAGGTGGAACGGAAAGAGGCCATCCTCAGCCTAGTGCACGCTGTACGTCAATGTCGACCACTATACAGGGAGTAGTCAGCGGTTTGAAACACACCGGCATCTAGACTTTTTAAAAACGATGGTTCTTTAAGGGTTCCAGTTTCGGAAAAGGTCCTATATAGAACCATGTACAGCATCTGTAGAACCACTTAAACACGGTGTTATACAGAAAGGCGAATGGGTCTATTTTGAGCCATAACTTATATACAGCACCAGTTCTACCGATGCTGTACATGGTTCTGTATGGAACCTTTTCTGAAATTGGTTCTGTACAGCACCAAAAAGGGTTCTGCTGTTATAATCTTGACACCGTAACAGTAGCTGAACCTTTTTTGGTGCTGTACAGAACCAATTTCAGAAAAGGTTCTCTATAGAACCATGTACAGCATCTGTAGAACCACTTAAACATGGTGTTATACATACACAACCATACACGACACTTTCTCCATCTATTTAAAAGCTGTTTAAGCATGAAATGGTTCTAAATAGAACTGTTGCCTCTACTAAAGAACCCTAAGAGAACCTTCTTTGTTAAGGGTGTACTCCATATGTCTGTTGTTCTCCACATGGACAGATTGCTTGTATTTCAGACTGACCAGCTGCATCTAAAGTGTCTTAGCTTCAGTAATCTGTCCAGCCAGGTTCTTTGAAATGCAGCGGCCTCACTGAGAGTCTAGTCTTACACCATGTCCAAGAAATCCACATGTCCAGGCCTGGGGTCATCTGAGGCTGTGAGGCGATAAGTGGGTCATGCTGTGTCCTCTCTGCCAGTCCACAGTGTGCGCCAAGATCATGGAGTTGCTGGGCCAGAACAAGGTGGACCACCGCCAGAGGAAGGTGGTCATCGTGAGCCAGGACAGCTTCTACCGAGTGCTGACCGCCGAGCAGAAAGCCAAAGCTCTCAAGGGCCAGTATAACTTCGACCACCCAGGTAAAGGCCGTGGTCAGAGTGGACTAAGTGCTCACAGGTGCTTTCGTGCCACTTTATATTGATGTAGTGATTTAAAAATAGAAATATATTAAAAAATCCCCCCCTTACATCTAAATAAGGTCTGTCAGCCAAAACATCATGCCTGGTCACCAGCAAACCAGCCTTCTGGATGACCAGCTAAACCAGCACCAGACCAGCTTAGACCAGCATTGAATTCATGAACCAGACGTCCAGCTCTAAAAGCTCCCTCACAGAAAGTTACTACATAAAATGGTTATGAAAACGCTGCCTGATGACTGAGACACTGTTTTCATGATAGTTTTGCTTTAAGCTTTTGGCTTAAATTGTTAAATTGTTTAATTTTTAAAATTTTAAACCCATTCATGGTGGAGAGGTACATGCAGGGCGTTTCAAGGCAAAATAGTCCCCAAAGAACACACTTTTGAATAATATATACAATTTTGTGACCCTTGGTTCCTATTAGCACCATTGTGAATGACTCTGTGCACATCTTAGCGATTAAATTATGAGAATATAATTTAAAATTTGGTGGAATTCCCCTTTAACAGGTGCTTTTCGACGTCTGAGTCATGCTTTTGTTCCAGTTTTTTATTGGTGTCTCTACTTAAAGCTGTGCTTGGTGTCTGAAGTTTGCTTGTTTAGTGTTGAACCAAACTTCAGACACTAGACATGTCTTGGCTGATTCACTGCAGTTGGGGAAAACAGGGAAACGACTTAATGTGATTTTTCATCGAACTGTCGCTGTATTGTGTCGACCTTGTTTTGGTTTCTCTCTGAGGATGGTGGGGATGTGTCCAGTAACCAGGTGTGCCCTTCTCCCCTAGATGCGTTTGATACGGAGTTGATGTGTCAGACTCTGAAGGACATTGTGGAGGGGAAGGTGGTGGAGGTTCCCACGTATGACTTCGTCACTCATTCCAGGTGAGCATTATTAAGCTCAGCGTCAGGTGTGGTATGATTACAGCTATAATCACAGAGACTAGTGTTGCACCGATACTGATACTGTATCAGCGCCGATACTGGCAGTATCGGTGATGGGGATACCGATACTTATGACTGACACCACGAAGCAATTTCTGACGTGCATGCGCCAGTAGACAGAACTTAGCACCCCGTTGGCGTGTGGGACGACAAGCAGCAGTAAAAACGCTCATGGCAGAATCTGTAACGGCAGATTTTGGTGTTAAGAACACTAACAGAGCTGATTACCTGAACGGCTGAGCTGCTTCTTTCAGTAATCACTCGTCTGCCGCTATGTAGTTTGAGTTAATGTTACTGAGAGAGCGGAAGGAACCGCCGGACTCTCGTTGTAATGACAGCATTTATCCTCGATTTAGCCTTTAGCACAGCAGCCCGCTCCATTGTTGCCTCATGCTGCATCTCTGAACAAGACTCACATATGAGTCAAAAACACTTGAGAAATCTGGATGTGAAACAACGTTAAGCTCAGCGTTGAGGCAGAGAAGCTGCTGTGTGCTGATGTGTAAACACCACAGGTTTACCTGTAAACTGTTCAGCTCTGTTTTTAATTGTTCTGCAGGATAAAGATATTTTAGCCTTTACTTAAAGTGATAAACATGGTTCTTATTACTAATTATATAATAGTAAGTACTTTTAACGTAAGTCAGTGTAACGTTTTGGACCGTTCCTGTTGGTCTCTTCATCATGACACTGACACTGAACAATGAAAAGACCATCGGAAATGGAGATGAAAGGTTTGTCGACAATGAAGCATTTCATATCAAACCCCTCTAAATGAGATTTGATTACATCTCAACCACTGAAATATTAAGAAAATTGGTGGAGTTCCCCTGTAAAACACAAAACGTCCATTCCACACTATACACGCAAGGACAGAAATAGCACTGTAAAAGCTGTATGTGCAGGTCATAATAGAGACAGTTAATAGAGACAGTGTGTGTGTGTGTGTGTGTGTGTGCGTGTGTGTGTGTGCGTGCGTGTGTGTGTGTGTGTGTGTGTGTAGGCTGCAGGAGAAGATCCGTGTGTATCCTGCAGATGTTGTGTTGTTTGAGGGGATTCTGGTGTTCTACACTCAGGAGGTCAGAGACATGTTCCACATGAAACTGTTTGTTGATACGGACTCAGACGTGCGTCTGTCACGCAGAGGTGAACACACACACACACACACACACACACACACTGTAGAATGAAGTAAGCGTGCAGTATTTTACACGGGTTTTTCCGGTTAGATGATGTCGGGAAAATCTGGCCAAGACTAAAAAAACCCTCTGATGATCCTGAAGGTTAGAAGAACTACAGGAAAAGTTCATCTGATTTGGGTGGATTTTTTTCTGTTTTTAGCTGCCGTTAGCTGGTGAAATTCGAAGGACGTCCTACAGCTAATATTACTGCTAGGAATCTTTACGTTTTGTGCTTGTGCCATGCACCCGTCCCCCCAGGCCTCGATTACAGGCGCGAGAGCCGACAGGAAGACAGGGCCTGAATCCTGAACACCGCCGAGGAACGTGAGTGACGGCGATGAGGGCCACAAGAGGCACGAAGGTGGAAGCGAGTCCCGAACTCCGCCGCCTGGGCCCCGCCTGCTGTTCCGCAGTGAGGCCACTTCCCTACACCTCACGTTCGATCCAGGCGGATGTGTCTCTTGTGGCCGTCATCGTCGTCACCCCCTTTCTGGTGGCTGATGTCCTCCTACCATCTCTTGCGTCCCTCGGTGGTGTTTGGGATTTGGGCCCCGCCTTCCGGCCAGCGGGGGATGGGTGCGTGGCACAGTGCTGAATAAAGATTCAGCTTTCCTGTCTCTCTATTAGTCCTTTAGTCTGAAGTGCTGCACTTTCCAAAACATGCGTCATTTTTCTTTGACATGCTGTTACGACCCGGTCTAGCATCAGGCCGTAACAGGCACTGAGAATGAGCTTTATCCCCAGATCTGTTGCCAGACCAATCACTGGACGCTGTTTGACCAAAAAACCAGCTCAGGTTTACTTATATTTTCTTAAAAAAGTCTCAGCCCTGTTAAACAGAAGGAGAGATTCCTGTTGAAAAATCTTCACTGTGAATTTTGGATGTGCTGCCTGTTTGTCTGACACTTGTGTTTGTGTTACCTGCAGTTCTGAGGGACATGAGGAGGGGTCGTGACCTGGAGCAGATCCTTACGCAGTACACCACCTTTGTTAAACCGGCCTTTGAGGAATTCTGCCTACCAGTGAGAAACACACACACTCACTCACACACAGGCTAAAGTAGCATTAAATGCATCATCACTGTCCAACAGAACAATCTCAGGGCAGTAATTTTACAGGAGAAGGCAGAAACGTTCGGTAACGTAAAGAGATTTTATCCCAAACAGTTTTGGAGAATTCCTCGGCTCCAGCACCCCCCTGCGGCCCAGAAGGATAAGCGGTTTCAGAAAATGAGTCTGTGTCTGTGTGTGTGTGTGTGTGTGTAAAGGCCAGCAGCTGTGCTCAAACAATGAAGAAAAATAAAAATAGAAAAAATAAAAGTTTTTTTTTTGGCCAGCGACGATATGAACACAAGTAATGCATGCAGGAAATTACATAAAACAAAAATATAATGCTTTTTTGATCAGGACTCCAGACCTTTTCAGAGCTGCCTTAAATATACTGGTAGTGAAAACTGACCGTCCAAAATATTACTACTTTGTTTATATTCCACTTGAATTTTTGTACTACCAGATTACAGATTCCCAAAAATTACACTCTTAAAAAAAGATGGGATCTTTAGTAAAGACTGATTTTTTATAGAACCATGAACTCTTAAAGAACCATTTTCTTGCTGACTTTGTTCTTTGCATGGTGAAACGGCTCTTCAGATTGATGGAGAATGTGTTGTAGATGATTCTATATAGAAAAACCCCTTTTGAAGCTTTACATCGTTACAACAGCAGAGCCCTTTTTGGTCCTGAGAAACAGTAAAACTCCAGCATACAAAGTGAAAAAATGTTACCTGAATGTCTGTTTCAAGCTGTAATTATCTGTGTTAAAGTGAGAGCATGCTTAAAAATGTGACTCGATGCTAATATTATATAGAAATTCCCATTGACAGGCTAATAGAAATTAGCTTTATGCTAGCTGTAGAAAGTTGATGAAAAAAATGCTACTTATAAAGCCAATTAAAATCAGTGTCTGGATTAAACACTGCTACATATCGTCCCTGAAGCGTCCAGTGTAACGGTATGAATATCGTCCCATGTGCCATTTTATCGTCCCTGTGTTGATGGACGGCGTTAGTCGGGAGCTCTGCGTTTGATGTTGGCACAAAGTGTCAGATTTTCATTCTCACTCCGACTCTCTTTCTCTGTCAGACCAAGAAATACGCAGATGTGATCATTCCTCGCGGAGTGGACAACATGGGTAAGTCTCGCTCAGTATTATGTCTACCAGTTACTTTAAAATTTCTACCATATCTCCCTCCTTTTTCCATCCCTTTCTCACTCCTCAAGCCTCCCACTCTTTCTTTGCAATCATTTTCTCTTTCTCCCTCTACTTTTCATCATCCCTTTTCTTTTTAGACAGATAGATACTTTATCAATCCCAAAAGAAATGGCAGAGTTACAGCAGCGACAAAGAAGAATGTACAGATCGTGAGCGTACAGGAGTGCAGAGATGGTCAAAGTGTGGTGGCCAACCTGGGCAGAGTGTAGCACACATACTGCAGTTCATACATACAGCTTGAACAAAGTATGCTTACAGTGTTTTATATGTCAGTGACAGCAAAAACAAGCCCCAGTAGAGTCGAACTGCAACGAAAGGCGTTACCGTAGAACAAGAACGCCCCCATCAGGAACGCACACTTATCATTCATTGGCCGATATGTCTGCAAAATGGCTTCTCTCATTGGTGGATAAGACTCAACGGGAAAATACATCAGTATTTGTAAAGATGTTACTGATACTAAATTAATATTGTTTTTACATATTTCCATAACGAGCATTTGGCATTTATAAACAAATATGTGTAAATATGTAGCTTCTGATGATTTTTAGAGTTCTGTCTCGCGGTTTTGTGATCCCCGACTTGAGTTTGTGGTCTGAATGCCCATCATAACGGTAGCAATCAGCAGTGTTTTCAGCAGTACTACGCAGTCTGCTCCATACCAACTGTCATTTAAATTAATGAAAAGAAGGTCATAATATTTCGATGATAATATTGTAGAATTACGACATTAAAGTGGCATTGAAACCAGGAAAGGTCACAATATTGTGGCCAAAGGCTTTGCAAAGTGAAGGCAGCACCTCCTGGTGTTTAATGAGGGGCGGTGAGGAGTTAAAGTTACACTTTCATATCGATTCACCCATAAAGAAACACTCAGTCTCCCTGTCTCTCCTGCTCATCAGCACCAGCCTGTTATTAGGATAAGAACCGGCTGAAACGGCTGAGCAGGAAACCGTGTTTATCTAGAATAAAGAGCCAGATGGACTCTGAGGAACCTGTCTGTCTGATTTATTGAAGGAGAATCTCAGGCAGGGTCGTCTACATGGCTATCGGGGGCTCCATCTCCCCCCATTCAGAGAGGGCATGAAATTTCACAGACAGTGAGAATGATGATCAAAATAATCCACAGAGAGACAGGAGTGAGTGGAGCTCCGGCGCCAGTACAGCAACTGGCAGCTCCCTACAGCACTTAATCCTCGAAACGTTTTAATCCGCGAGTTTATTCTCATAATTTTACGTCTTTAATCTCTAAATATTACGACTTTATTCTCAGAGTCTATTATTTTTATTTTTATTAACCTAAGCCCAAAGCCCACCTGATCCTGACGTCACACGAGGGGCGTTCCTGGAGGGGTGTGTCTGCATGTTAGACCCTCCTCAAAACGAGCCTAATTATTGTGATGGATAGTAACATCATGTACATTTAATATTCTGTAGAGATTTGATTTTGTTGGTTATTAAAACAGCATTTGTTTCTACTCTGCTTCATCACTGCTATAAATACTTTAGCCAAATGCCTCAGTATTGATTGTGGTGATGATTAATCGAAAAGGTGAAGAACTCTTACTGAATGATGCCGGTGATGCTGACTTTAAGAAGCTACATATGTGGACACTTTAGTTTGGACAGACAATAATCATGTAATACTGGAAGAAATAAAAGGTAGTGAAGTTGGCTGTTTGGCTGAGGGCTGTTGCACAGTGAGAGGGACACATAC